GGTTACGCATAAACTGGGCGTGTTCATTTTTTAAAATGAAAAGAATGTCAACATTGAAAATGAAATAATGGTCAACCATTTTGCTGACTGATTCAATCCACGAAGACTCATTCTGATGCAGGTTAAAACGATGATTAACATATTTTTTAACCTATAATATGAAATCAAACAGACCTAGAAAAATCCAACTGCACGTGTTCACTATTTCTTTATACATGTATCTATATTTATGTTTATATCGGGTTATATGACCGTCGGCAGTCTTTGGTGGTTACCTCGATGATTAATTAAATGGCGTCTAGACTACAATACACACGAAATGCTGATACATATTATCGAATCCATGCATCGTAAATTGTTTATTTTAGACTTTTTATCATTTGGATATACGTTTTAGTATGTTATGAATAGGATATGAGAACTTTAGTCAAATCGGTGAACATGAATTTGACAGCTAATACCCCTTTAAACATTTTATCGTATTTTTAAAATTGTATTTGACTGAATGTATTGCTATGTACAGTAATTAATATATTGTAAAACATGTTTAACCCCGCCGCATTTTTGCGCCTGTCCGAGTCAGGAACCTCTGGCTTTTGTTAGTCCTGTATGTCTTTTTTTTAATTTTGGTTCATTTATATGTTTTGGAGTTTAGTGTGACGTCCATTTTCGCTGAACTAGCTTACATTGTTGTTAGGAAGCCAGCTAAAGCCCGCCTCCGGGTGTGGGATTTTATCGCTGTGTTGAAGACCCATTGGTGGCTTGGGCTGTTTTCTGCTCTTTCGTCGGGTTGTTGTCTCTTTGACGCATTCCCCGTTTCCATTCTCAATTGTATTATTAATCAATATTTCCCTAATTATCGAATATTGATTTTTGCAAATTTGGTAATGTCTGTTGAAAAACAATATTGAGCTATTGTTGTGCTATAATGATACCTTTTAAGTGGTATCACAATCTTACTTGTAATGCCACCCTCAGTTTTTCTACCAGTATTCTCAGCAACTTTTCCAATTGTTTTACCAGTGTCAACAATACCTTTTTTAACCTTATTAGCCTGTTCTTCAGCTTGTTTTATCATCCATTAATTTTCCAAGTGACATCTCCGTACCAATATTAATTAAGTTTTCTATCTCGATTTTTTACCACATATCCGAACTTAACAGCTTTTGCAACAGGTTTGTTAACTACGTTCAGCAGTCCGTGGATCATATGTGCGTTTCTGGTGGTTTTTAGATATTTTTAATAATCTCCTTGAAATAATAAGTATAATTATAATCGCTTTAATGACTATTGGATCAGTAAAATTTAATTAATTATAATAGAAAAATATCAATTGTTCATAGATCACTATTTTTCCAGATTCATTTTTTACACTCTTTTATCTTTTATCGCAGTATACCATACTGTAATTGACATATTTAATAACTTTTACGACCTGACTTTATAGATAATTTTATTATTCTAAAAAAAACGTTGCAACTCCCTTAGGCTTTAGGCAAAGATGATCTTTGAATCGATTTTGATTGATATGAATAGGCTTTTTTTTGTTATGATGCTTCGAAATTCTTTTTACTTTCTATTACTTTCATTTGATTGTTGCTGAAATTGGTAGACTTCCGTTCCGGCATGATTAAAATGATATCTGTTAACTGTTACTTTTGTTTATATTTTTTTTTATTGTGCTAAATCTTTCACGCAAAGTTGTCCTATTGATATTTGATTCTCTGGTTTTAGTGTCTCCTTAACAGTTTTGAATAAGGTTCATCACAAACATCATCGATTTGAGTGTACTCAATGAATATTACTCCAGGAACAGGTATCATGCGCTATCAAACTTATTACTCAACTCTTTTAAGGTGCATTGTATATTTTTATGACGAAGACGTGACGTAATAATAATGATGATGTATATATCAGTTTTGGAGTTTTTTGTTTTTGTTTTTATAGCTACATCTGGTTACTGGTGCACTGAAATTGTAGTCATGATCGTTCCAAACAACTTTCACAGTCACTAAAATCATCTGGAAGCTTAAATACATAAAGAGTAGCTGTATATGTTATATAACTTCAAATACACATGAATAGATGTATAATAATATACATTTGTATTGACATGTAAAATTGTATACTAACGCGTGTAAATGTCAAAACACAATATACTAAAACATTTTCTAATTTATGAGAATTTATTCAGACAATATAATACTTCAGATGACTTGTCATAAATATAAATCATTCACAATGATTACTTCGTCTTACTGAGGAGATGTGCATCTGTATAATACCTACTGATCATCCCATATACATTTATTAAGCAGGGAGTGTGCATTATCTGGTATGGGCGATCGGGAATTATCCAGATAGTGAAAACAATGAAAAAATAAATCACTTTTAATGTGAAAATTACAACACTTGTGTTGATAAGAGATATACGTATGTTAAGCCATTTCAATTGATATCTTATAGTGTGTCTTTCTATGTTGTGATGTTACACTATTGTTTCAGATAAGGGTGTAGGTTTGGTACCATTAAAATGTTTAAACCCGCTGCAATTGTTTGCACCTGTCCTAAGTCAGGAATCTGATGTTCAGTAGTTGTCGTTAGTTGATGTGGTTCATAAGTGTTTCTCGTTTCTCATTTTTTATATAGATTAGACCGTTGGTTTTCCCGTTTGAATGGTTTTACACAAGTAATTGTTGGGGCCCTTTATAGCTTGCTGTTCGGTGTGAGCCAAGGCTGCTCCGTGTTGAAGACCGTACTTTGACCTATAATTGTTTACTTTTATAAATTTTGACTTGGATGGAGAGTTGTCTCATTGGCACTCATACCACATCTTCTTATATCTAGGTGAATTTGTCCGTTAAATGCGTTAAAAAGTAAAGCCTCAGTCACAAATCAGGATTTTTAATACCGTCCTGGAAAGGAACATTCCGATAAAAATGTGTTAAAAGTCGGATTAAGTTCCTGTGATTCGTGGCTCGAAAATTTGTAAAAACAAATATTGATTAAATCACGAAAACAATCAGATATTTTTCAGGAAACGTCCCTATTATACCGATAAAAATATACCATTCTAGATTATTGATAATAGTAGTCCGACTTTTTCACATTTCGTGTCTTTGCACTGTCTGATCTCAAGCGCGAGCCATAATCGGCTATCTGTGACCGCCGTATTAACTACAATATTGAAGACAACTTAAGAATTACTTAGATTGTCAAAGAGATTACAATGATATAACTAGTTTTTGTTTTACAATATTAAACTTTCTAAATTATATCAATTTCAAATCAGATGTCCTGAAACCAATGAACAAAAAAAATAAATAATCTATCAAGTGTCCAGTTTTAAACTACTAGTACGTCAAATTTATTATATTCTTTTCAATCGTATTTAAGTTTGATTTATGTATAAACTTACATTGTTCCTCTTTTTTGATAAGTTTAATACTTTTATAGACTCGGAACGATGCAGTCTGAGAGTCTTTTTGTATATACACCTGTCGAATGTTGAATACCTATTTCATGTCACCCTCTAGATGTCTTTCGGTTACTATTTTTGCTGGTTTGCTTTCTCATTGACTTGTACCAATTTTTATTTATAACTGTTATATACACTATCATGTGTTTTTCTTCATTAAATTGTATTTCAACCCACTAATACAATATTATTTTTTATTAACTATAGTAAGCACTTGTAAAGTAATCACAAAAACCAATTTTGGAAGTGCACGTAGTAAAAATAACTCCTTTTTCCCACAAGAAACTGTACATCTGAAAAAAAAACATTTAGTTGTCTAGCAAAAATGGCGGGAGCCACAAGATACGTTTGCAGTTCCGGTTAAGTAATATAAAACAAAAAGACTCTAAAAACACAAAACATGCAACAAATGTAGTATTAGCTCAACTTTAGTTCACTCCAATAATGTAACTAAGTGTACTTAACCAGTCACAACCAACAAATTGTTCTAACACTATTAAATTCTCATAACCATGTTATTTAAGACGCCATGTACGAACGCTGTTAACAGGATGTTTATTTGTGTTTTAGATATTATTCAATTAATATTCTATAAAAATTTCCTGAAGTAAAAAATTTACAGGAACATCAACCTAAAAAAATGTCAAATTTGATGAAATTTGCCTGCAGGCAGCGTTGTTTTGCACTGAATACCTTAAGTTTTAGATTAATCGTTTAATATGATTCTATGAAAAGTGTAGAGTCTGTGAGTAAACGGTACTTGGGAAGTTTGTTACTCCTCGTTTTCAATACTATTAGCTATTCCTCGTATGCTCTAAAGTTGTGTCGGAGTCCGGCAGACCCAGTATAATATAAAGAGATATGGTATGATTGCAGATGAGACAACTAACCAGGAGAATCCATTTAACATAGGATTAGTAGGTCACAGTGATTGCTTTCAAAATTTTCACAAGTTTACAGCTCTTGGTTTCTCCGTACCATAGTAAAACTATATATCCTTTCTTGAATGGATCGTACATATAAAACGTTACCTTCTGCAAAGTGTGTACGGTATAATCCATATTTTCTTTAAAATGCAACATATAAAAGACTACAATAATTAATTAATCTTTATTGCAAGTAAAACGTTAAATAAACTTTTAAATACAAGTAAACAAAACAAAAATTGGATAAATAAATATAACATACTAACAATTTCAACAAGTATATTCTAATACATCAACTACAATTATATTGCTAAAACATTTTGTCATTTGATTGCACATTGTCATTCTTATATTACTTTAAATTGACTACTGTAAATTCAGAAATTATTGCGTGCATTTATTATTGCGATTTTGTCATTTTAGACTAAAATGCGATTCTAAGTTTTGCGATATTGAGACCAATCCTGTTTAATTCATATAAGATATTTCAAAATGCGAGTTTAAATTATTGCGATTATAACCCTGTCGCATTTTTCGCAATAATAAAAACATCGCAATAATTTCTGAATTTACAGTAAATGGTCTAAACAGTAACTCTATAGCATTTTATATATGATATCTTTTGATATTTTTATGGCCATGCCATCTATGTTGGAGATTTCAAAAAGTCCGGAAAACTGAAATCGTTTCTTGATTTTGTTAGTTTGGTATGTAATAAATGATTTTTTAAATGCCAATTTCCCGTGAACGATAACGATACTGCTCGTTTCATATTCCACCTGAAAAAAAGCATAAAGTACAGGTATTAGTAGTTATTGAATTATAAAGTTTTAAAGTTATAAGGTTACAGAGCATTAATCGTGATGGAAAAATAAAAACTACCAAGGCAAGAAGGTAATCATATATTTTAATTATTGAAAGGATATTTTTTTACACAAAATTGTAATGATGTTGTGTGTTTATTTTCGATTGATAGATTGATAGATTGGTGACTTCTTATATTTCTAACGACTACCTATTACATACCAATATTAAAATGGAGGTGAAACAGCACCAATTGAAAAATTAGCATTTAGAACTTATGTAAAAGAAGCCCTAATCTAACAAAATATAGCTCGCTTTTGAATGTGTTGTCTACTAATAATTGCAAATAGATTTGCATACATGAACATTTGATGAATGAAAAATATTTGGACCATTTTGAGCCAGTATTAACTTGAGTTGAGTGGCCGTATCATTGACATTTACCAACTATCTACGTTTATTCATATTAAATTCCGGTCAGTAGTCATGTGATATCAAGAATAGCATCCCATTTTGTCCGAAAAGGGCTATACATGTATCAGCAAAATAAAATATCTTTGTTTCGATAGAACAACAACACAATTATTTAATCATATTAGTTTTGACTACATAATGGGTCTTTATAAAGGTCTCGTCCTAGCTTGCATGATTTTGAGAGACTGGTGAAAATATTACCTTGGTCACTATAGGTGCATTAGAAACAATATAGGTGTATGTGTCCTCTAAACCTCTCACTTTTTCATATAATTGTTTCTGTCTTCTAACAAAACTTAACCCACAAACTGCAAATAAAGGAAGAAAATGTACAGATAATTAATAAAATATGTATATTTAAACTCCATATTTGTTGTTCTTTACATTAAACTTTTTAAACTTTACACAGAGAAAAAATAAGCAATTACAGGTCACGGCCTTCAACAATGAGAAAATCACATACCATAAAGTCGGCTATAAAAGGCTCCGACATTGAAAATGTGCAACAATTCAAACAAGACAACTAACGTCCTAATTCATAACAAAACCATTTTCGGAAAAACAAATATGATGAACATGAACCAACGTTAAGTTATTTCCTATAAAATAATGCAATATCTAAGTATAATATATTGTTTCCTGTTTGGTATTAAATTAATAATTAAGATCCATTTTGTTTCATCTGGTGATCCGTTTATTTGGCAATCGCCATGGCAGTCAGCAGTGTTTAAGAACATCCGTTGTTCGACCTGCTAGTCAAATGCGTTTGGTTAAAATATACTTTTTCACTTTTTTGGTCTTTTGGAAAATATTGTTTGTGCTGTATTTAGACCCCTCTACCAAGAAATTTGTTTTGCATGCACACGTATAAAAATTGCGGTTTTTATCCATCGCAATCATAGGTTTGAACGTTGTTTTCAATTTAGACTTGTTGGTAATATATGATATATATTTATTAATTATATACTTACTTTTTCCAACTATTTGTTCCTCAGTGTGTTTAGTTGTATCAAGTATATCACAAACTGGACAACTGTTTACACAACGCTTTGCAATTAGATGTCTAGTTGATCGTTTTCCAAATATTTCTAAAAAGTAAATACCAAAATTGTCGAATACCACAGAGAAACAGTGTAATATTGCGATACGAAAAGAACAAATTAGAACATGTAGAAAACTGGTATTTAGAATTAGATGAATATTTAATGATAAAAAAGGAGAAGATACCAAAAGGAGGAACTTGCCAAATAATGCTTTAAAATCCGTGAGAGAAAAAATTTTGACATACAAATTATTTATTCACATTTTATAAATTCAACGAGTTATTATTATTAACCATCACGAAGAAAATATATAAAATTGATTAATTTCGAACAATACAACTATAAATTTGATTAACACCTTTATCTATTTATTATAACATACTTTTAATTCCCTTCCAAATCTTTTTGCCAGTTTTCTTGACTCCTCTTCCAAATTTCCTGATACCATGTCCAACTTTCTTGGTTATTTTGGCAACACCTCGTCCAATATTCCTGCCGATTTTTGCTACTCCCTTTCCTAATCTTTTAACATGACTTCCTATTTTGGATCCGATTTTCTTAATCCCGACTCTAACTTTTTTAATAGCTCCTCCAACTTTTTTTATTGTACTTTTAACCTTTCCTCCTATTTTTTTTACGAACTTTCCTATCTTCTTTCCAAATCTAGCAGCTTCCTTTCCAACTTTTTTACCGAAAGATCCCACTTCAGAAATCACTTTGCCAAATATTTTTTCTCCAGCTTTTTTTAAAGTGTCTTCTATCTTAGAAGTTATGCCTTTAAGTTTTCCAAGTACTTTATCGCTGATTTTTTTAACTACGTCCAATGTTCTTCCAATTACCTTAAGAAAATTCGCTACTTGTATAACAGGGTTATTGATCACACTAAGTAACTTTCCTAATTTTATTTTCTTATGATCCTGTCTTGGTTCTCTATAAAGAATACAAATATTAACAAATTCAAATATAATCTGAGTGTTACTTAAAGATTATCATATGCTTATTTACTGTTAAATATGATATTATTTGTAACATTTTGTATTCTCTAATTGCAATATGGTGGGTAATAAACAATAATGTAAATTTTCACCGCTTAGAAATATGTGACTGCGAATATATTGTTTAACAATACATTGTTAAAAAAAAATACATAACGACCTGAAAACCCATTACTGTTAGGGTCAATTCTGAAACTCAGATATTATTTTTTCATGCTGGCTGTATACATTCCACGTGCAAATGTGTCTCATATTTGTTGAAACCTTACGAATAACAGACATTCCGTCCGCTCCAGTTATATTTAATACACAAATGAAAATCTGTGTAAATATAATATTCAACGTGCTCTGTTAAATATGACTACACTTTTGAACATAATAATCCTATCCAAATGTTCTTTTTATCAACTACAAAATCTAATTGTGTTTCTGTAGTAATTTATAAGATACACTTTTCCCTAATGCAACAATAATACTATAATAATCCGAAAGCGGACATATTTCTTAATACCACCTGCTGATTTATAGTTGTAAGTCTGTACAGGAGACAAACTCAAATATTAGACTTGCCTATGTGACACCTGGTTCAATTGGGGTGGGGGGTCAGATTTAAGATTTGTAGTATAAGATTTTGCTTTCTCTGTGTTTTATTCAATAACCATATACACTGTACTAACATTTCAATATTCAAGTCTGTTAAATTATGAAATCAAGTCTACTTACTGTGGTGCACAAATATTTCCAGCACATTCATCACATGACTTTAACGTTCGGTTTACTTTGATTTCACACGATAATGTTATAACCTTCTCCTCATTTACAGTATCTTCAATTGCATCGACGATATATTTTACAATATCTGCTCGTGCTTGATCGTTTATTTCTGAAAAAATTTAATGTTTCAAATTATTTATAAGAAATTGTATTCATTTTATTATATTTTGAATTTTTTAGCTTTCTGAAGAGTTTGTTATACTCTATTCGGGAACTGGTTTTTTTTTCAAACAACAGTGACATTCTAATTTCATGTTACACATAAGAAAAATAATTTTGAAAATCATGTAATGGTTAAATAAACTGCCTTCTTTTATTAAAACGATATTTGAACATTGTCATGAACGAAATAATTTTGTAAGATAATGCTTAGAAAATGATTAGGTACGTTGACTTATATATTCTCAATTCCTTACAATATATGACCAGTAGCTACAAAGTAAATACATAAATGGAAAAAGGACACATTGTAGATAAATAAACATATATGAAAGGAAGAGTGTTTTTATTCCTGATCTTCATCTTGCCACTGATTTGGTCTTCAGCGATGATTTGAAGAGATAAAAGCTTTAGCATTAAATAAATAAATTAATTGATAAATTAATAAAAAGAAACTGTGTTGGATGCACGTCAGAAAAAAAACTAATAAAAATGAGGAAAGAACAAATTATCTAAGGAATAATGTTGTAATAGCCGTATTTCATCTCACATGAACAAGTGTTCAACAATAATCCAAACCTCAAACCTCAACTCATAGTTAGGACAAAACGGTCCTTACTCATCGGTTGAAAAAATACATATGCTTGAAAAAAATCCACACTAACGCGCACACGACGTGGTTCACTAGTAACGCTCGTAACATGAAATAGTAACGAAACCTGGTGTGGACTGCATAAAGGCATGTTGAAGACGACGTGATATGATAATTATTACATGTAAATTAATGAATTTAAAAATCATTCAGTCTATTAAAACATTTAACTTACTATCCAAATTATTTTGTGGAAGTGAGAGTAGTTCTCCATTACAAGTACAAAGTGCTGCAACTACTGCCACGAGAAGAGGAATGAACATTTCAAAGATTTTAAAAGCTGGATGATTTTGAAGCAGATTTTATTGTGTTTTTATAAGCAAAACTACGGCAGTTCCAAGAATTAATTACTAAAAAGCAATCCTATTAATATTTACGTGATATGTTCAGCCATCTGTGTTTATAAAACGGGGGATGTTATGTGTTTCATCTGATTTTGTTAATGAAATATTATACATTTTTCCTTCATTATATTTTATTACTATCATAAAAAAATGTGTTTTTTGTTTGTGAAGTATTTTTTCATATTCTAAAAGAAAAAACATATCACTTTTTTTTTTAACTTACTTTAACTAACCTTTAATGTACCTCAAGGAACTAATGTCAATTTACCACAAGAACATATAAAACAATGCGATTACGTACTTGTCATATTTATAATTTATTATTTTTGTTGATATATTTTTTAGGAAACCACATCGAAATGAAAGTTTTCATGTTTACGACATCTCAAGAGTGTATTCGATAATAATGTGGAAATTTTCCTTCACTTTCACAGCCACATTCTGTATCCTGTTACAATTCAAACCTACTTAATATTGGCCAACTTCAAATCATGTACATGTAAATTTTGAATTGCACTGAAAGTTAACAGTTAAATCATGTTACACTTAACAATTATGTGAGTTTCAGATCGATACAGATTTGATAAGCATCGTAAACGGAAAACAATAGAATGAATAATTAGGGTCATGTACAACATTTTCTCATCATATGCAATGTTTGTGTACGATCAAGAATCACTTTGTAATTTTGTATACTTGTAAGGTAGTACAAACCGAGTTCATTAATGAATAAAAAGAACCAATTTCCTTATCTAATAAGCATGATACACAAAGCAGTACAGGGCAATTTAGTTAAGATTAGACCTATTGGTCCATTTAAAGATTATTTTAAATTTGACTTTTTTGTCTAACCCTTTTGTCGTATATGGTAGCAAACTTTTAAATATTTGGTTTTCAAGCTTTTTCTATCAAACAAACACTATACATGTCAGCTCTGATAAACACAAAAAAACTGTATGTACAAACAATTTTTACATGATTTTCACATTTGCAGATCACCGAATAAACCTAACGATAACTGTAACCTCAAGATGGTGTACTCGATGCAAACTAGTTATCTTCTCTTTGATATTTAAATTGATTTTTCAATACTGTTAATCTCTCTTTATTTCTGTGATAAATGTATCCTCACTATCCCTAATCTTAAGATCTAAGACACCGAAAACATATTGTTAGTGAGTTGAGACACAGACATATCGTATCGGTACACCAATTTAGTGTCGATTTTGGGTTGTTCTTCCTCATAACTCTGTTGGACACTTTTTGACCACACCACTGTTAATTAAATTATAAACTGTTAACACGCACGGGCGTCACGTACTAATTGAGATATGTAAACGCTAAATGATGGAGCAGAGGGTATGTTACTACTGAGAAAAAGGTAGTTGACAAATGGAAAATTAAATCTATCACGTTTGTCATAAACTCCATTTTGAGGCCGTCCATCTTTACCATCGAGGAAAAGAGTAAGATATGAAGTAAACCTTCTAGTTTCGGTAGTATCCTTAATTTCAAGCACTCTTTTTGACTTTGGCACGGTTATGCATGAATTCTGGTTCATATGAGTAAAAACAAAACAAGTCGGCAAGCAGGGGTGTCCAATAAGTACCCATTTGAATACAATGGTTGTTAAAATATCAATCAACCAAACTCAACAAATGTTTGTCTATCAAAAGGCCAGCATATTGATGATATTGTCTTCGGTATGTTTGTTGTTGGAATCAGAGTGGTTCTTTACGAAGAAAGATTTCGTGACCTAAAACAAGGAATTTGCATCTATGATTCCTGTTTTTGTAGAGAAAACCCTGTTAAATGAGACGATGCAGTTGATCTTTCAATTGAGCATTCGAAAAATTGTGAAGATTGGAGTTGCAGATTTTGAATATTTTGAAGTAAATATTTAGACCTTAAATTTTCAGCTACATATTCGATTGACACCACTGATAGAATATGCATTATCACACATTGCTAAAGGCCATCTTTTACTTGTAGGAATATGATTATTCGAATAATTTGACGACGCAGCTATTTATCGTTTTTCTTTAAAAATGTATCTGTTTAGGTAGACAGTATAAAGACAGGAGAGTTTCATTGTCTGTTTTTATGTTAATACCAAGGGAGAGAAGGATGGATGTTTGATATTCTTACTTTTCTTCTTTTGTGAAAAAAGTAGAGATTCCGTTTTTAAGTAGACATTCTAAAGGATTCTTACCAAACCAAATTATTTGAGGCTTTGTCTGATGGAACAACAACATCAACATAAAGAGAGGGTTCAGAGCTTTTTCAAAGGACAGAAACCCCTGTGATCATTGTATATTGTAGATTTTGAAGGCGTCTATATTTCAGTAGTTCTCCTTGGTTGCTGTCTGTAATATTTTTTAACATTAATCAGGCCGTTTGGCTTTTCGTTTGAATTGTTTTACATTTTCTCATGTCACGACTTTTTATAGCTGACTATATGCTATGCGTTTTGTCTGATTATCGAAGGTCGTACGGGGACCTACGGTGACTTTATTGGATTCTATTGGATAGTTGTCTCGTTGGCAATCATACCACATATCCTTGTTTTATTCTGAATGCATAACCGAACAGCTTTGATCCATTCAGATAAAATGTCCAGTTTTAGTTGATTTCGTTTGCGTTTTACCCATTTTCTGGCACAGTCCTCAACTGCATCCATCAATAACCAGAATGTTTTCCTTCCAGTTGATGGGTTAGAGAATCGGTATGTCATTTGGCTAACAACTCTCTCAGCTGTTCATTGCGTAGGAACTTTCATTAAATGTCTTAAGGCTTATTTAGACAAAGCAGTGCTATAAACATATTTGGTCAAAATATACTTGTTGTATTGAAATATTATTGAAACAAAGCGAGAAGAAAACAATTTATTTTTGTTCCGATTCCAGAATAAACAATGTGCAATGTGTCACAACTGCGGATCACCTTTACCGTTATTTAGAGACAAAAATGTCGGATCAGTATGTTTCAATCAATGCAAAAGGCAATGTGAGCTTTTTTCCTGACTTGGCGTTCGTCATCAAACCTACATTGTTGGGCCTAATTTATGATGGATTCATATAAGATATATTAGTTCATGTGTTTGTTTGTGTTATTTGTTTATACATTAAATACTTCATAGTTGGTTTTATTCTTATTTACTGAGTTTATTTATTCACATCATCGTGTTTGTGTGTAAATCACATTACATAAACTGCTTGATGAATGAATAAGGTATTGACAATTCACTTGGAAACTCAACAAATACCCGCTTTGGTATCTTTCGCCTCTCTTTTGTAAGCCATATTGGTGTTATGATATGCAAAATACAAAATGTATAAGACATCTACCTGTTCGTAGTGAGGTATCGCCTTTATGGTTGTCAATTTTTTTCTATTTTTGCTGCTTGTAACTTGGTTTTGATGACATACATTTGATCGCCTTTATTGAATAAACTCATAACTTGTCACACGGTATGACCGTTGACCCTTCGGTAAAGACCATAGTCTATTTTGTTTAACTTGTGTTTCTAAGCTAACTCGTTAACGTTTACCCTGTATCTCAAAATGTTCTCTTATACAATACATAAATTTCAGAAACAACATATTTTGCATACATTTATTGTCAGTAAAATTGTAAATTAAGGTAAGTGACATATTAAATAAATCTTTACAACGTTTGCATAAGGTTTGGGATTTTCAAATATTTTGGCTATCATTGAAGTTTCACCAGCCCAGTAGTCAGTACTTCTGTACTGGCATGGAAATACGGATATTGTTTTGTCTGAAATTTGCTGTCATAAATTTTGAAAATCATTTTAAATTAAGGAATATATCTCCCTTATGCCAAGCTCTGATTCCTTGTCCGGTTTTGGCTATACTTTAATAGAAAAGAAAGGATTACGCGGTATCCATCCATGGCAAAAAATCAGTATGTGCACAGCAATTAACACAAAAAGTAAAGGAACAGCACTTATTCTTCATTTCAAAGTCACAGTAAGGCCTTCAACACGGAGCAAAAAAATCTCACCTCACTGAAAGTTTAGATCCTTCTTGGTTTGATCAGCCCTTCAACGTTTGTATTAGGTTTTAGATTTTCAAATATTTTGGCATCAATAATCACAAGAGATATTATTTTCAAAATGCGCATCTGGTGCAGTAAAATTGGTATCGTTTATGTTATTAAAGCTGAAATATTAAACGATTGAATTATACCAAACATAATGATTGGAAAAGGTTTCAACGGGGAGCACATCTTGTTTAACATGCAAAAAGGAGACACCTTATATCTAATACAATTATGTTTTATGTCTCAAGATAGCTTTTAATTTCATGTTTGAATCCTTTTTTTACTTTCAACGGGGACCATATCTCATTCTACATGCAAAAAGAAGACACTGTTTATTTAAAACAATTTTGTATTATGTCTAAAAATATTCAATAGTTTATTTTTCATATCTTTTTTAAAACATTCGGCTAAAAACTTCTTTTGATATTTTCATAGACATTCCGTTAATGTCAGAGATTTCAAACAATCCAGGAAGTCTAAATCGTTGTCTCATTTTACCAGTTTGGAATGTTACAAATGATATCTTGAACTCTACTCTTCCGTCTGTAAAGAGAACACTATTCTTTTCATACTCCACCTGAAAGTGAAAAAAAAACTCCATACTGGTGTTGAAGATATGGTACTCTCGACTCTCCATATAATAGCCGGGTTGATATAAAAAAAAAAAAGGAAACGTTATAAAAAGAATATCCATGACTGGGCATAGGTATTCGTCATGACAATCTATGCTATATATTTTTCAAAAATAATTTGAAAGTCGTCTAAGTTTTTTGTATATTCGGTCAAAGAATTTTTTTTCATTTTTTTTTAATCGCACATAATAATTACTTACTATTATGTATAGCAATATAACAGACAAAAATAATTCTTGTGTTTATATCATTAGAAAATGAAAATTCCTCATAACAAAAAAATATCCAAATAAATAAATTAACCAGCGACAATTATAGTTCTAGTGGTACCAAGTCGATTAAAATACGACCAACATTTTTATTTCAAACTTTTATATCAAGTTTATACTGATATAGCAAGTGTCGAACTCTCATGTGTTTGCACTGGGTTTAAAAAAAACACAAAGAAAAAAATATTTACATATTATAAAGTGTATTCAATACTTATAAATATAGTATTAACTGTTAGAGACTATTGATTTTAAATTGATTTCCTTCATAGGCTCATAACAGTGCACAAAAACGGAGGGATTCAATAAATCTCAAACATCTAGAAAGTACATAAATTATAG